TACATGTGTATACATATATATATACATGTATAAGTTCTCGCTCAACATTTTGAGAACGGCTCGTAAGGCCTTATATTCACTCATTGGTTTAAATTTCACGAGCCTTAAGTCTTTATTACTTGTGTAATTGTTACATTATTTTTGAAACGTATGAGATATAAACACTGACGTTCTGACATAGACGTATGTTTAATAGACACAATTGCGATAAAACTCTATATCAAAACAGCAACCAGAAAAATATACACCACAAATGCAATATATATATATATATATTTATTCTCTATATTTTTGCACAATAACCTAATCTTAGAAAACAACTAGAATTATACTTTTGTGCTTCCAAAACAGATTTTCCAATAACCAGCTTTATTACTCAAATATCTTTTTTTATATCGATTGGATTTGCGAATTCCACGTGTCGGGCACAAATTAATAATCGACAAACGTGACACGTACAAATCGTAAGAAATTCTTCACAAACATCTATCGCAACGTTCATATCACGTGTGTCGTGCACATGGCAAGTAATAAAGTTACAAAATTGTTTTTCTATCTGTTACTTTTAATACTTATTTATTTTTATCATAGGGTTTGTTTATCAAATATATAAACAACTTTTATTTTGTTTAATATTATTTATTTTGTTTAATATTATTTTATTCGATATTTTTTATTTTACTATTATATTGTTCGACGGAGTTGTAAATTTCATGTGTTAAATATACTCGGGAAACGTGTGTGTGATGTAATAATTATCTAAAACAAATATTTCATCGCAACGCTCATGTCGCATGTTTGTCGTGTACATTGTGAGTAATAAAAAATCATAATTGTTGAAGAAACTCTCTTAAACGAGAAGTAATACACTATTTTGTCGTACGTATATATATATGTTATAGTCGCTCCGTTTCCGTTTGATTATACATTAGAGCGTGTGCGGCATACGCATCGCTTCTCAATAATTATGACAACATTATGAGCACGGGGGATGCAAAGCTTTGTTCTCTCTTGCGTGACAGAACAGGTGCTTTAGCTTTAGTTCGTGGCAACAAGTAGCGTAAGGTAATTCCATTCTCTCTCATTACCGGCTGTGCGCGAAAACACAAGATCTCGCCTGGAGCTTATCCGGGAAGATGTCGAAACTTTTGATGTTCTTACAACATGTGTAAAAGAGTTTTGTGTGTTTCGTCATGATGCGATTACAAAAATGTTCGATAACTCGCGCGACAAAGTTTCGCTTTGTAGTTGACTTTGAAAGAAAGGCAGGCTGATCGAAAAAAAAATAAATAAATAAATAAAACAACTGCGAAAAGATGATGTGTAATTCGCGAACACAAATGTGCAATTCCGCCGACTGCCATTAATGATATCTCGCGAATGCGACAGGTCGATATACGCCAACTGATAGGATCTCGTTAAAATTACATTGAACAAGCGCGAATAGTCCGATCGAGCGCAAATATGTACGTGTAATTATTTCACAAGAATAATAATTCACGACGCAATTAGTTTTGCGTTTTCGTTTCATTATATTGCGTTTTGCCCGTAACAAGGCCTGTTCGCGCGTTTCAACGAACTAAAAGTGATGGGATAACGTAAAATTATCGCAAAATTACGAATAAATGAGATTTCTCATAATTTGTAATTATTTTTCCATTTTTTTCATATTAGAAAATCTTTTAATTACAAATTTGTTTTTTCTTTCTCGTGTGTATTTTTGTGGCGCAATTTTCTCGTAAAAAAAAAACTAAACACAAAACTAAAAAATATTGAGCAAAAACTTCGAGACGGATATTTTTAAAGTGACAAAGAAATGAGAAAGATCGGGCAGTTCGCCGAAATCGAAATAGATAGATTTTAATATTGCAAAGATAAACACACATACATTTTCCCGGAATTCATCAGTCGTCGATGATCGCAAAGTGGTGGTGAGGTTAGTCAAAGGGTTAATATCGGCCTTAATTTTGGCTCCGCCAACACAGGATGATATCCTGTTCTGCAAACATAACCACGTTAAGAGTCGCCGTACGTACGCTTCTCTGTAGCCGATCCGCGCCGGTCCGCGTCGTCGTCGTTGGCTGAAGCGAACCGGCGCGGAAGGGTGTCTACGGGGGGGAAGGAGGATGATCGGGGGTGGTTCTGCCGCATAAAGGGTCGCGGATATTCGACGCCCCGGCAGTAAGCGTCGCGACGTCCGTCGAGAACGCGGCATACGGCGCACGCATCCGACAACTCGTGTCACGTGGCTTAAACCGCATTCTCGACTCGCGCGTATCCCTTCCTGACGTTTGTGAATGGAAATCGGTTGGATAAATCCTTTTATTTTCTCACGTGACAAAAAAACGCACTTCTTTGCATTGCCTGCAAAAACTGTTTTTCTTTCCAAAGAAAAAACGCGTTTGCAATTTATTTAATCCGTTCGATCTTTCCTCGATATATGTCGTTGAAGTTTGCTTTGTAAACGCCGGCATATAGAACAAAAAAATCCACACGTAAATCGCACGTTCACGTGCCGAAGAGTTTCGTTGTGAATGTTGGAAAGAGGTAGGCTATATATATATTTACGTTTTGTATTATTTTGTATTCTTGTAACACATACACATACACACACAAACACTTTGTAATTACGAAATGTGAATTTTTTATCCTCTTTCTGTTTTAATAAATGAATTCGAAGAATACGTTTCACAAAAACGTATGTTTCATTTATTTTTTAAAACTCTGCCGCTTAAAAAACAAAGCAGTTGTCAAAAATCAGGACGCGACATGTGTGTTTTAACGCGACTAACTTGAGCAAACGGAAGCTAGAAGTTTATTAATAGTTTCAGCACCAAGCGGAACTACGATAAGCTCTTATGCGCGACGTAAATGGCATTATTTCCAGGTCATAAACCGAGCTTTAAATAAATGACGTGTAAATATAGTTCCGAGAGTTTGTAGCCGTGTCGCGAAACTCGAGTCGAACGAGAAACGTCGCGCGTTTATTAGCGCAGATTGCACCTTTGCGCATACACATGTACGCGCGCAGTCCACTCCTATTCCACGACAGGTAATAGCTTTGCAAATAACCATCCCTAGCGGAATCGTGTGAAATTAATCAGAATTCGCCGTTAGACGCATTTTTGTTCCCCACGGTTTTCTCGCTCGATGCGATAGTACGCTATGTGGTTTCGAGTAGTTCGAGTCAACGTCGAGCCGGCCGGAGTCGAAGTTTTTTTTTATCCGACAACTTCGACAATAAAGTCTCTTTTCTCACGCATCGGTATCACGTAAGCCCCGTAGCCGAGCGAGGAAGACGAACTTGTCTCGTAAATTCGTGAACTATCGCAAATGTGGTGCCGCGTAAAGTGAGAGCGTAAACGTAATTTAAAGCTCGGCGGTGTAAGCTCGAATAAAAGGAACGAAAAGCTGGAAACGGGTACATGCACGCGAACGTGGCGCGCGGTATATTTCACGTGTATATAAGAGCTACGACGACGACGACGACGACGACAACGACGACGACGAAGGTAACGTAATTCCGCGGTGGCGCGACTTTAAAGGCAGAAACTTAATTCATTCCTGCGGTATACGGCCGCAGATCGGAAACTTTTTATCGACGTCGCGGCCTTTTCGCCTCGAAAGGCGAAGCCGGCTTCTACTTCCTTCGATTCGCGTGCTGCATTATTCATAGCGTCGAGCAATTACAATTTCTCTCTACCGAGCCCGACCGTGCGAAAGAGAATTAAAAGCGATCCCGGTTTCACATCGACTCGCCGATTGCTCCCGGATCGACCCGGGAGCAAATTAATGGCTGTCAATTGCGCAACACCGCGAGGGAAAAAAAAATAATGCGAGAGATGGTTGCTCGCGCCTGAGAAACGCCGGTTCTCCAAGCGAGAACGAGCTTATAACCTCGGAAAAATATATGCGCGTGTTAAACAAAATCGCGATATTATTTTAATATAAAAATTTCAATATACGTATTTAAATACGTGTAATTTTTTGAGCAAAAAAAATTTCTATTATGCTAACTCCCGTTCGCTTGTTTAAATTTAATTTTATTCGTTTATTCGCAATTCCTTTTTAAAAAGTTTTTTTTAAATACATTTCCATAATATTAAAAAACAAAAAAAATCCGATGTTAATTAATGCTAATTAATTCCGTATTGTTTATCTTTTAGATGTCGATAAATGCCCTGACAAAAAACTGGCGGAGTAATTAAAAATAATGTTGCAAAACTTTTTTCATCGATGATCAGCAAACTTAAAAAAGAATCGTATCGATAATTGGCACGCAAGTGCGACGATGTCAGTTCGCCAGAAGAAACTCGTTTTTCTCGAAATCGACGAACATTGGCGCGAACCAAGAGAGCTGTTTAAACTTCGGGAAGTATTTCCCTCAACTTAAAATCGGCAGCGCAAAGAAGAAAAGAGCGAAAAGGGGTAGATAAAGAAAGAGAGAAAGAGAGAAAAAGCGAGATCGAGATCACGATGTAGCGGGTGTAACTTTCGCGCCGGCAGCAACGGGGGTTTATTCGCGGTCTCGCGAACTTCGTTCGACGACTCGAACTTCCGATCGATGTCCGGAATTCGTCGAGGCGTATGGATTGACCTAAGAATGAGACACGTTGCTATAATATGGGACAATTGGAGAACTGTTTAGACGGCTTATCCAGGCGGACGTCGAGGAAGTCCTGCGAAAGGGCGTCCCGGCGTCTCAGGTCCTTGCTCGCCAAGGCCAGAAGATGGGGCCTGACGACCGAGGAGGTTGCCGAGCTGCCGACTATGAAGAAGCTGCTGCCAACCCGCGTCACCTCGACCTCGGCCACGTGGATGACCTTGGCTACGATCGCCCTGCTCCTCGGCGGCGGCATCGTCCTCGCGTACATCTGCGCGCCCTGCGTCACGCGGAGCAGAACGTGAGGCCAACCCTCGCAAGAAACCACTTTTACACGGGTAATCGAATTTCTTGCGCAGCTCGATCTTAAAACTCGGAATAAAACAACGATAAAATATGTTGGTAAATATTTTATGTAAAAGAATAGAAGGGGAGCAAGAAAGAGAGAGAGAAAGACGGTAAATTAAAAAACAACAAAAAAGCTATCCAAACAATGTGTATTTAGTTTTTGGCCAATTGTGTTACGTTGTGCGCAATTCGTGTTTACACGAATTACGGGTGAATAATGGCGTTTCCAACAAAGCTGCTTCGTAGAATTCATTTCGCACATTTTATATATGATAAGTTAATGAAAGCCTTTGTAGCCTATAGATTTACGCTTCTGCAGTAAATTTCCATTGTGCGTGTGTCGCGCTTAACGTAAGCATTGAAAGCCATTATGATCAAGAACTACAATGTTCAATTTTGCACAAAGCGTTGTTTTGCGCCGCTCGCGGTTAAAAAGTTTCGAACGCATAAAAATTTTACGCTTAATCGGAATTGTTCGATAATAAAAAAGTTTAATAAATATTATTGACAAAATGTAGTACAAAAAAAAATGTATAACAAAAAAAAAGAAGAATGAACGTTATTGCAATTTTAGTTATTCCGACATGTATACATATATTTTTGTCTTTTTGCGAGAGAAACAGCATTTAACGCGAATTATTTCTATATGTACACACACACGCACTCACACAAATAAATAATATAAATCGTCGTTATGAATTACGTATAGTAAGTAGTATAAATGTAGAGATACCAATGCGATCTTGACAGCATCGTTGCGTGAAATCCGGACACACGCACCGGAAATCGGACGTTTTAATCATTCATTCCGCTTGCAGCACCGTGAATTTTTCATCATTTTCATAATGCCGACCTTTTATTATTACCGCGCCCGCATTTGTTCGCGCATCGCCGGCGCCACCGCGCACGAGCGATAAAACCGTTCATTAATTAGTCGGCGCAAAAAGCTGCGTTATTTATATCGCCGGACAAGAGCTGCGTTTTTCTTCTTTTTTTTTTTTTTTTTTTTTTGTGTGTATTCCCACCTTTCGTTAAGTTCACCTCTTTCTCTTCCTTTTCTCTCCCGGGGTTTTTTTTTTTTTGCTCTCGCGCTTTAAGCCGCTCGCGGAAACGCACGACAACGCCTACACCGCGATAATTCAGCGGAGAAAAGTACGCTAATTAAAAGCGACGCGCTGTGTGTATCGTTTATCATAGGCGCGCGCGCGCGCGCGCTGATTATCCGCGCCATTGCCTTCGTAAATTCGTAATTTCGATCCCGGGATTTAGCCGCGTGATGCAACACGCGACCGGCCGCATAGTTACAATGTATCGCCGCTACGTTGGCGCGCAACGCGCCGGCGTTTCAATTATTTCGCAACCCGGCGAATTTACATAACGGAATAGCCCGGCGAAATGCGCGCCGGGCTTCATTATTTATCGCCATCAATCGGTTAAAACGCATTCATCGGTGAACGAGTTCCGCGCGATCGTTCTGCGACGCGATCAAACCGTATACGCGACGCGGAATATTTTCCGAGCCGATCCGAGTTAATCGCGGCAAAAACGCGATTGCGACGCGATTAAACGCGGTAACGACCAGTTTTTTGCGAAGCGAAACCGATGTTCGCGCCGATGTCATTCGGATCGATTCGCGAAAGAATTTATTTCCCACTCTCTTCTTTTTCGCGAACACTATTTTTTGTTTGAGATACTTTTTTGTAAAAACCGTCGGAGTGGAATACGAGCCTTTCTAACGCCGAGGATGAGACGTTTAAATTATCGTTTTAACTTCGTCGACACTGTAACACAATGGCCACACACTCGTCATGGAAACTTGTGTTTTACGGTATATTACGGTTAATTCCTTATTTCGCATAAACTGAGGGAGCTTACGTTCGAGCGAGTTCGTAGGTAGGTTCAAATGAAAGAGAGAAGCGCGCGTGTGCCGAAACTTAACTAACTCCGTTTAATGCCGAAATATTATTGGAGATTTACACGAGTGTGATGTGTGAGGAAAGCGCTAGATTTTTGATCGCATTCTTCGATTTGCACTTGTGTGATGAATTTTGGCGCGTACGATGCTAAACGTAATGTCAAAACGCGTACAAACACGAATTTGAAAACGCGCGTTAATTATCGCACATCCCGATCTCCGATGTAATTTATTATAATTGTATGTTACAGATATATATACATATATATTGACGCAGCAGAGAGAGAGAGAGAGAGAAAGAGAGAGACGAAGTAAATTATGAAAACACATGTCGAGCATGGGAGAAACATATTGATGAATAGATTTATAAGAGATTTGTGTAATTTTAGCACGTGTGTTCAATAAAAAAAAAAGAAAAAAAAAGAAAATGCGCAATTCCGCAGGTTATTGTAAAAACAATGTCACACTGAGTTTTTGTGCGATGTCGATATTTGTTTTGATAAAATTCGAGTAAAAGAAAAACAAAACAATGTAATTTTTTTTACACGCGAGATATACCGAGGAAGACGCACAAATCTTTATCGCGATGTAAAATACGCATTTTAAAATACGATTTTACAAGTATGTAAAACACGGTAATTGCTTAAATAAAGAGCTCTTTTAATCGATAATATTTTGACAATTTACATGTGTGTTAAAAAATAATTTGTATAAAATATATTAATTTTTAATAAATATATAATAAAACTTTAAATAAATGTAGAATAATAAAATTTATATCGCGCTCGCAACTACTGCAAAAAATGATGATAAGATTTATTACATATACCTAGATATATACATCACACACACACACATATATATATATATATATATATATTATAGACAGTAAGAAATTACTCTTAATATAAGGAATATATATATTGACTTGTGTAATTGTAATTTTATTAAGAGGCACATTGCTCAAATGTAAGACTAATTCTCAGATGTTACATCGAAAGAACATGTATATTTCACTTTTTTTATACGATTAAATAAATGTGTTTCCTGATCGTGTACGTGACTATTAATTTTTATGTATATAATATATTCCATCACATTTATGCGATGATAACCAGGAAAAAATTATGATTCTTTTCGATATTTGCAATCTATACGCAACAAACGTGACACAAACGTTTCGATAAATTTCTCTCGTGTCACGTTTGTCAAATATTATATTGCGCTTGACACGTAACACTTATAACTCCAAATGGTATAAAAGAAGACGTTTCTAACAAGAGGTTGCTCATTGGAAACCAGTGTTGGAAGCAATACCGAAGTGTGATTCCAGATTTGTTTTCAAAATTTAAATTATTGTGCGAAAAAAAACATGGAGAACAGGAATATTTCATTTGGTGTATGTTTATTGGTTGCTGTTTTGATATCAAGTTTTATCGCAATGGTGTCTACTGAATCTATTATTTCAATATTCACAAGAAACAATTGTCCTCAAGGACACTTATGGATTCCGAAAAAGAACAAATGTATCCGAGTTCTCCGGTAAGACTCGGTATTATTACGATATGTATATATGTCTTTTATTATATATCTTTCTATATATATTCATACACATCTATTTTTAACTCTAAGATCTTATTAACGTGTCAGTAATGTTTTATTTGCAGCATTTGACGAGACCAATAGCAGATACACATATACGTTTCGAAACTAATGTAACGTAAAGATTACACGTGTATTCTGAGAAATAAAACTCTTCTAATTTTTGCACTTTTGATTTGTCAATGCGTTATTCTGTCACTCGACGATATATACACACAAGTGCTACAAATTATTTGGTTCTCGGCGTTGTGAATTTTTTACAAAGACATCCACAGGCGAAAATAGCCAAGTCTGTTGAAAAAACGAACGGCGAAACAGAAATCAATATCTCTCGATTTTTCTTAATAAAGCAGTTTCACGAAGTAAAAGCGACGAGGAGAAAATATCGGAATTGTCAAATGTGACGATAATTATGAGTTGAATGGATATCGATTTCTTGTGTGTGTGTGTGTGTGTGTGTGTGTCTGTTTCCATCAACGCAGTTTTACCGTTGATCGAATAAATTTACTTTGAACGAACAGAGTTAAGGCGATTATATTTCTAGCACTGTCGAGCAATTGATAAGGGCCGAATAATAAAATTTTAATACGGAATCAAGCACCGATCGCGATTTGAAGCTTGAAACGATATATATTCCCTTCGTCTGATGGAAGTATTAGTAGGCCGATTGATCGAAATCGAAGTTCATTTCTCGTTCTATTCCGATCGCATATATTCATGCGACTCCCAGTAGGGATTATCTTTTCCCAAGCTTTCTGTTCTTTGTCTTCCAGCGTCGCGAAGCTGGTAATTTTGAAAACCATATTCTTTTATTAAGTTCGATATGCATTACATAGTCGCTCTGAAAGTTCTTCAATGAATGAAAAGTTGAGTTTTGTCTCTTTCTCTCTCGGAAAAAAAAAAATTTCAAATGGAAATCAGTGTAAAACGCAATTCTTTTCTCTCTTCGAATTTCTTGATATCTCAATAACTGCGCGCTTAAATAAAATTGATTTTATAAAACTTATAAAGACAATGTAATCCTCCGTCACATTTCTGTTCTCAGCGCGAATGAGAGAAATAGAAAATTTTACGAAACTCTTTTGCTTTTACAATTATTTTGCTTGCAATAAAATGAATCAATTACTAGTCTAATTTGGCTGTATTAAAGCAGAAGACGCGTGTGTCGCAAAATTACACCAACTGCTTGAAAAGGTTAACGAGCCAAAATTCACGGCGAAGAGAAACAAAGAGCATCGGCGAAAGTTCGCGCACTTACGCAAATTGCGAGGGTGCGAACGGAGAGAAGAAAACACTTGATGGGGGGGTGGGGGAAAGGAGGGGAAGGGAAATCGTCGTCTCTCCCGGCGACGCAAAAAAGGGAAAGTCCCAATCAGTTTTGACACGCTGAATGAACGTCTCGTGCTAATCGAGTTATTTAGCTTATATCAGCGGAATGAATTCGATAGAGTTCACCCCGTTCCTCATTCAGAGCGCCCCTCTTTTTGCTGTTTTTTTTTTTTTTTTTTTTTTGACGTCGCGATGCGAATCAACCACCGACTGCGAAATTGCTGCGGCGGATTCGGAAAATTTATTTAAACACGCGAAAGAAAAAAAAGCGCTCGCTCTCTCGCTCTCGTAAGAGAGAGCGGTAAATAAAAAGATAAACTTTACGTTCGCGCGTCTCTGTATGCATAATTGAAACAAGCTTTTCGTCGTTACCCGACGCAAAAGCGCATCCGCAATTACGCCGTCGGGAGTAATTGCATCGCTTTTAATATCGCGCGCGCGCTGAGTTTTCTTGCGACGCGTGTCATGTGCCACGCGCAAATGTGCGTCCCGCCGCCGCGTGTCCCATTACACATCATGTAAACTGCATTCCACTAAGTGGAAACGAACGCGATTCTCCGCTCGTGGGTCTCACGCTCGTCTTTAATCGCGCGCTCTCCCCCTCGAAGTGACCGGATTCGTTCGACGACGCAGGAAGTCGCGGTTTTTCGGCGAGCTCACAATCGGAAGGAATGCAATTTTGCTCGGTTTACTGCAATTTTCTCGCAAACGGTCGTTTTCTCTGAGACTCTGTGGGTGTATACGTATGTGTGCGTCACTCGACCTCGACTTGGATACGATTTTTGCGATTTTGAATCGCTCGTCTCATATTTTCGCGCGACGTTCGAGATTGCGATCGCCCCCGGTGTAACGCGCGATTCGTCGCTTTTTTATTCGCCGCCGGATTAGCATTCTAATTCCGCGGACTGATTAAACAACGCGCGGGATGAGCGCGCGCAAAGAGTCTCTGTTTATCCGTTTCGAAATTATACGACGTCTTTTCGCCGCGTTGATTAAACAAGGCGAGCAGCAAGCGTATACCTATATATATGCACGTGACGTGTGAACAATACGCGCGACATTACGACTGTTTGGTTGCGATATAAAAAGAGATGATATTGGCGCGATATTTCATTCGGGAATATCAAATATTGTCACGAAAGAAGATTAGGATCCGCTAATGAGATCTTTTCGGGAAGCGTTTTCGTGCGCGGCGCGCGCGCGCGCACGTTTGATTTATCAGACCGTGTGTGTATACTTTCGCGCGGTGAGAAAACGACGGGGAATCGATTTCCGCAACTCTCGTCGATCATTCTCAGAAGAAGAAGAAGAACGCGGAGGGAAGAGTGGACGGGTTCTCTTCGAATTACTTTTCCCGTCGGGAATACGGGTACCTACCGAAGGATCGCTCATTCGAGTCACGTGTCGGAAAAGGACTCGTTTTAACTACGTTAATTGAAAGGATGGAGGGGAGGGGCGGGTCTGTCTTGTCGCCTGTTCGTTTCGCATTCGAACTTGCGAACGGACATAATCGAGAACTCTCGCGCTCAACCGCGATATGATGACACACGTCAACGATTTTCATCGCAATTGTCGAGACAATCCAACTGACGGAATTAATTGGACGCGCATTCGTTTACATCATCTTGTGTGTATCACGTCACACCTCTAGTTAGTACGTGAACATATCGAGTTATTCCGGTCACGTGGAATGGAGAACTTCTTTCTAGGGTAAAGGCAGTAATTGAAAGGAAGACCCCTGTCGGTTCTCCTCCCCGCATCCTTCTCGGAAAGAGACCTCGAATTCGGCTCGATCTCGCTTCTTATTCAGAAGAAGAAGCCGGTTTCGTTGATTTTGATTGCGCCCGTAATCAGTCGCGATGCCGATCGCAGATGCGTGGCGCGCGCGCGCGTTCGAAGAAAAATAAAAATAATCTTCTCTCGATTGACAAACGAAGTGGAGAAATGTTAAGCGGTTTTCAATTACGGCGATTCAAAAGCGAACGTTCTTGTTGCGACGACGAAACGTAAAAAAAAAAAAAAAAAAAAAATCACACATTAATCTTCTCCTCGAAACTAAAAATTTGTTCGAGTGAAACTAACGCGTTCATATTTTTTATACAACCAAGCTGTTTTGTTTTCCCACGCTAAATTTTTAAACGCTCGTCGTGCACAAGCGCGCGCTTTCTGAAAAAATAACCTTGCGCAATTTCGAATTCTGTTCTGTGAAAATCTTTTCCGAAACGTTTCTCTCTCAATTTTCGCGTTCGAAACTCCATTGTGTAAATATTTTCCGCGATAAAAATTCAACAACAGCACACGCTACTTCAACCGATTCCCTCCCCATTGTCTCCCATTTTGAGATGTGCCGATACGAGCCTTTGCACAATAACCAACTCGAAAAATTATTTTATTGCGCCGGGTGGTTTGCATCGCGGCGCGGAAGATGAGAGAGCGCGAGAAAAAAGAATTATATACATCACATTTTGAAGAGCGGGAGCTCTCTTCAGCTCTCGTAACGTGTTACGCGCGGTTTTTTATTCTAAATTACCGGCAACAAAAAAAAAGCTGCTTCATTCATTTTATTCAAAAGGATTTTCCTCCATATGCTTTACAATCTTTGTAATTAAAAATGGGAAAAACCACCTTTTTTTTTTTTGTTTTGCGCGCCACGGACGTTTGCACGGTCTCGCGCACGGCCGGATTTTCACTGATGTGTAATAAAATGCGTGGAAACTTCAGGTGGCGTCGTCTTTCATCGGTCTACTCGAGCGCGAAACGCATCGAAGTTGCGCGAGTCGATATAACGAGAAAAACGACCGTGCGCGCGCGCGCGTCTGTCGTTTGTACGGTTCGCGACTGGATTTCTTCGCTCAGCTTAACGGAGATTGTAGATAGCACGGGTTAGTGTGTACGTGTGTGTGTGTGTGTGTGTGTGTGTGTGTGTGTGTGTGTGTGTCGTAAGTTCCGTGAACTTTAATTATCGCAAAATAAAAGAATAAAAACTCGTCCGTCGGCTAACTCGTTAGAACTTGGTGACTGCAGATTCACCGGAGAATGAAAATTATGCTCGCGTCTCTCTCCCATTCGTAGCAGATTTAACACCACGTAGTAACGTCGAACTCATTTTATGACCACGTGGTTTCCGATACTTTTCGCGCGGAAGCGGAAAGAATCATCTTTTCTTCACAAAAGATCGCCGAGGGGAAGAGGAGACCGATTCCGCTTTGCGATTAGTTTCAAATGATCTTCGATTTCGCAAACTTCGAACGTCTTATCTCTATTATATTATCTTTTTTTCTTCTTATTGTTGAGCCGCGGTCACACAAATAAAGTTTCGCGAATACGGAGAGAATTCTTTGCGGGAAAAATTCTTTGTATTATAATTGTGACTCGACGTGTGTATATGTCGCGATATTTCGTCGCGCAATGTAAGGGGGAAAAAATAGAGGCGACCTGTATAACCGCCAAAACATAAAAACTTTTCTAATATAAAGTTTGTCCATCAGCAGCATGGATGAATTTCGGTCTTCATGTGGCACCAGGACATGTAAAAGCCGTTTTTATGTACGTGTCAGTGAATGTTACACGATTTTTTATAATACATGTGTACGTATAAATATATACTTTATATATACATATTTTTTTTTTTAAGTTTATATATGCAATATTAATATAATATTTATTTATTTCTTATAATATATAGTAGTTTTGTTTCAAATTAAGTTTAGGGAACCTAGCAAGTTGCTGCTTTGCCCTTTAAAGCGCCTTCCTTCCGTTCAAATCTGTATATAATTTTTGCGTCTTCACTAAAGTTATTCTTATTATTATATATACGTGTGTAAATTGATAAATATTAA